CTGAGAGAAACACGGAGAACACTTCAGTTAACAGACGAGCACACTGTGTCTGTCAATGGACTGTGGCGAAATGACACTAACACTCATAAAAAAGGTACAAGAGTGGGGTGGTACCCTTTCGAAATGACATGTTTGTACGATATTTACCCCAAAAAGGGTGAATATTAGTACCTTAACGTTACATATTAGTACATAAACGGTCACATTATAAACTTTTCAAGGGGTACCGTCTTACTGACAGCTTTTGTACTTTTTTTCCTGAACGTGAACAAAACAAAATCCAACATAGAGTTAGAAAGTAATGATTTATGTATGAAATAAAACTGACCTGTGTAACATTATGGTACATGAATATGGTAATCCTTCAGTAACATCGTTTAAAATTGTATTAAAATACCATGGCACTGCCATAAACGTGTTTACAGGGATATCATGAGCTCTTTTTTGAATTTTTCCACAGCATGAAGGAAAGATCTTATCGATTAATGAATAACACACTCGTTTTAAAATCTTCAATGTCCTGACATCATGTCATCAGCGCAAACACACTCTAAAAAATGCTGATATGGTCAAATATGGACAAACCCAGCCATTGAGTTACCCAGGCTCAATCGGAGGCCAGTTCTCCTCTGGCGAACATTCATATTGTTTATATATAAATATTAAATATAAATATTGTTTATATATAAAACGGCGCCATAACATATCGCCGGCGTTGAGTCGTCTCTTCACAGGCGTTGGTCTTCTCATCACAGGCGTTGGGGCACCCGAAATCCCCGTGAGAGGCTGGATACAAAATGTGAGTGATTTTCGTGGATGCGACATATTGATAGCCAACATGACATCATGACTTTTGCATAAACATACACGTCACTTTCGAGTCAAGTGGCGTGTTATCTATACGCATTCTGAGCTATCCGCGTGTATGTCTACGCCATTAATGTCAAGTGATTCCGCGTGTATGTACACAACGCTAAATGTCCGAGCGAAACAAAACAAAATGTAGATCTACATCTGGCGAACAATGAACCTTTGGTCTAATAAAACATCGGTACCTAGTCAATCGTTCTCTGGGTTTTGTTTTCATTATAATCGAATGTAAAGAGTTTTATCTCTAAAAACTGTTTAGCGTATAATGCTAGTAATGGGGGCATTGAGTAAGTAAAAAAAAATCGCTAGTTTATACCACTAACAAGGCTCAAAATAGCCCCACACTAACACAGTAACATAATGAGGCTCCATACATGCAAAACGAAGCATTGAGAACTTTGTAAGTGTACAGACCGTTTAATAAGAAGATACTTTAAGAAGACAGTTCACTTCACGTATACAGCCAGGAGCCGTCTCGATAAGTCGATCCCCGAACGCCGTTCATACAGTTCAGAAGTTCGCTGAACTTCATACAGTTCAGATCACTCAGCACGACGTTCGTGGTTTGACTTATCGAGACTATTTTTTAAGACGGCTCCTGTCTGTATACGTGAAGTGAACTGTCTTCGTAAAGTATCTTCTTATTAAACGGTCTGTACACTTACAAAGTTCTCAACGCTTCGTTTTGCATGTATGGAGCCTCATTATGTTACTGTGTTAGTGTGCGGTTATTTTGAGCCTTGTTAGTGGTATAAACTAGCGATTTCTTTTTACTTAGTCAATGCCCCCATTACTAGCATTATACGCTAAACAATTTGTAGAGATAAAACTCTTTACATTCGATTATCATGAAAACAAATCTCAGAGAACGATTGACTAGGTACCGATGTTTTATTAGACCAAAGGTTCAGTTTTCGCCGGAGTTCTCCTTTAAGTCAACGGCGTTCGTAAAAGCGCTGAAAAGCGCTGTTAATAGCACGCCAAAAATGGAAATACGAATTGGCGTGTCATACATACACCATTTCATGAGATCAGTCTGTGATAGCGGTTCCCTGATGTCCACAAATTAGTTAACTCACATAATCAAGAGCACGGCGGCATGCGAGACAGAAGGTAAAGTGCTCCAAACCGTCCGTGTTGTGCACGCGTGACGAGGGAGAGAGACCTGCCTCATGAAGCGCATGTAAGACAGAGAGCATCATTATCGGCCCGTTTCAACCAATCACCAGTAAACAATCCCGTGACGTAATCAGACCAACTAATCGATCATGACATTCCTTGACAATGATTTTCATAATCGATTTTATCGATTAGTTGTTGCAGCCCTAGTTAAATGCAGCCTTAAAGGGTTAGTTCACCCAAAAATGAAAATTAAGTCATTAATTACTCACCCCCATGCTGTACCAACCCCGTAAGACCTTCGTTCATCTTCGGAACACAAATAAAGATATTTTTGATTGAATCTGAGGGCTGGATCACTTTTCCATAGACAGCCTGAGGGACTGCCTCTTGACGGCCCAGAAAGTCATTAAAAGAAAAGGTTTAAATATTCCATGTGCCTACAGCGGCTCAACTATAACTTTATCAAGCGACGAGACTACTTTTTGTGCGAAAAAAAAAACGTAAATAACGACTTTATTCGACTTTCCATTACTTCCTTATGGGCGCATGCGCGAGAACTGAGACGAGACCGTTCTTCTTCGACTACTTTTTGTTACCGGCTGCTCACCGCTTAGGAGTTTTACCGCCCCCTACCGTATAAGATGACGTACTGCTTGTAAACAGAACGTTTTGCGCCTCCGGCTATATCAGTACGTCATCTTATACGTCTTATACACCCTCAGATTCAATCAAAAATATCTTTATTTGTGTTCCGAAGATGAACGAAGGTCTTACGGGGTTGGTACAGCATGGGGGTGAGTAATTAATGACTTAATTTTCATTTTTGGGTGAACTAACCCTTTAATGAGCATAATAGATACTTCTTTCAAATTCATAAAACAATCTCTCATAAGTCATCGCTCGCACGATTCCCAATTCCTCTCAGCACTCCCTATGTAAAACACTGCAGAAATAGTCTGATCTCTCTCTCGTTCTCAGTCGTTCCCTCTGTTTGCTAGTGTCCATTGATCAGTTTCTGAAGGTAAGGCCCTGAGGGGCCAAACCACAGTTTTAACATTCAGCTGCATGGCACAGAGTCTGGCTGCCAACGCACAAATCACTGCTTTTGCATTAAAGGCTGCACACGAAAGCAAACAGGCGGCAAATAACGATATTCACAGATTAAACCCGCATATTCGGCCTCGATGCGGCACATTTCCCTCATCTGGGAAACTCCCCGCGGATCCGTCTTTGTCAGCCTCTTTAGTGGCGCTAGCGAAAGCCACACGCTGAGTAGCGGTGATACACAACCCCTTTCTGTCTTCAGTCTCCACTGCACAACCATAAACCCCGTCTCCGGGGACCGGCGGTGTGAAGGGCACTCCTGATGGGTGATATTGATGTGTGTTTGAGTGCGTGCGCTCAGGGATGCCAGTCTGCCAAGAGCCCACAGCCCTCAACAAAAGTCACACAGACACATCGGCCCAACGGGGACATCAACCGCTTCACTATCTCTCCTATACACTCCGTCAGGGTGAGTTATGTGGTTTTGCATCTCTCTGAATAACGCCATACATCACCCAATCAGCTGGAGATGGAGTCAAGGAGAAAAGCCAACGAGTGTTCGGAGAACAAGAGCGGGCAGAAGTTATGGCACCGTTATATTACGGGAAGGCATTCACACGCTAAATAAAAGAGGACGACTCTCATACTTCACGCAAGGCATCGATAAAGCTTTCAGGCACAACGGATCCTAACAAAAGTCCGCTGATATCTCATTCGGAGAGAGAAAGAGCAATCGAGATACAAACTAAACTGAGGATGCATTAATTATCCAGCATGTGAGCACTTTAAAGGGGTCAAATATATTTTTGTTAGTCTTTTTTTTTCCACTTACAATATTAATAAAGGTTCTTTGTGGTGAAAAATTTGAATATTAAATGATTTTTATGATAATTTTCTTTCTGTTCTATATTTTCCACTTACAATATTAATAAAGGTTCTTCGTGGTGAAAAATTTGAATATTAAATGATTTTTATGATAATTTTCTTTCTGTTCTATAGACCTCATGCACCAGAGAAACGTGGGCGCCGTCATCTTTAGAATATTGTCGTTGAACTTATATTTCGTCGCTCTGTATATTTCTATGGCATCGCTGTCGAGGAGTAATTAGCTGGTGAAGTGGATTTACTTATTGTAGAGTTAACAAACATTATCATAAGCATTGTAAAGCAGATGTCTAAACAAATGTCGACCGGGAATTTTTTTTTACGAGCAGTTCATTCATACCTATGCAAGATCGCTGTGAAAATACAGACCGGATGTCAAAAAGACAACGAGCGCAATGCTGAAAAGGGGCGGGGCTACATAAGGTCTATTAGAGTGATTTCTAAAGGATCATGTGACTCTGAAGATGCTGAAAATTCAGCTTTGATCACAGGGATACACTATTACAAATTACAATATATATATATATATATATATAAAAACATAATTTTTACGTTAAAATACTGGCAGCTGTGGTTATTTCATTATCTGATTTAATGTTAAGTTACCGACATATTGTCTATCTATCTATCTATCTATCTATCCATCCATCCATCCATCCATCCATCCATCCATCCATCCATCCATCCATCGATGGAGGGACGGACGGACGATCTACCCATCTATCTATCTATCTATCTATCTATCTATCTATCTATCTATCTATCTATCTATCTATCTATCTATCTATCTATCGATGGATGAAGGGACGGACAATCTATCTATCTATCTATCTATCTATCTATCTATCTATCCATCCATCCATCCATCCATCCATCCATCCATTGATGGAGGGACGGACGGACGATCTACCCATCTATCTATCTATCTATCTATCTATCTATCTATCTATCTATCTATCTATCTATCTATCTATCTATCTATCTATCTATCTATCTATCCATCCATCCATCCATCCATCCATCCATCCATCCATCCATCCATCTATCCATCCATCCATCCATCGATGGATGAAGGGACG